AGATGATTTTGAAAATGATGATCAAACAATCTTTGTTATAAAAAATGTTGAAGTTACAGAAAATGATAAGCATATTAAAGCTCGTAATTTGATTAAGTTTGTTGGTGCAAGAGGTTTGAGATTGTGTTTAACTAACTATAAACCAGGCCTACATGTATCAGTATATGCAGATAAAAAATCAGAATTATTTTATATTGATAGAAATTACAATCATAATTGGTATAAACACAATTATAAAAGTCCTTTAATAACCCAACAAATATCAAAGTATGTAAATCCAAGTATAGAAAGTTCTTTTACTATTTGGATTTATCTTATTCATCATCATATTGGTTATTTGTGGAAAAATCCTAATTTGGTTTTAGATAAAAAAATAATATCTCTGATTATTTCAAGTTGTGTTTATTGTGTCTTAATAATGATAAATCATATTCTTTATCAAAGAAATAAGTATAATCACTCATTGAGCATATCAAGGTTAGTTTTTAAAAATAGAACATTAATGAGTTTGATTTTATTTGTTGTTAATACTGTTTCAGGTGGTGTAAATGGATTCAATGTTTATCTATTTTATACATCAATGATAAGCTTCAACATACTCGCGACACTTGATGTTCTATTTTCTATTAAAGAAATGATTAGCTTTAATAGAAAAATAAAACTTAAATAAAATTTACTTTTATTTTATCCATCAAATGATTTATCAACAATCAAATTCACAGATAACAAAAGACACTTTGTTTAATGATTTACCATTACAAATGAAACAAGCAGTTATTGAATTAAAGAATCTTAGTGAATTTAAGTTAGAAAAGAGTGTGTTTCCGCCATTAATTGATTTTAGTGAATTTCATATTCCAGAGAGTAATAGAATCTCAGAACAGTTCCTTACAATAGTTAATAATGTTGAATTCTTAGAAAAAAATCCTAATGTTAAATTTGATGTTAAGTCTAATTATTATAAAGATGTTAAAGATCATAATAAATTTGCTGATATTTACGCTAAGAATATCACTAATAATAAACCAATAGAAGAACTTGAGAAAACAATAAACTTAATAGAAGACAGGCATATGAAAATGACAAGAGAATTTAAAAAATAAAAGATTTATTTAAATT